AACACAGGTCCTCAGGCTTACACAAACACATTTGTTCACCCACTGGGCCATTTCATTGGTCCACCTTTCACTTTTATAATGAGGGCTTTAAAAAATAGGCAAAGAAGGCTGAGGCAGCTTTGGGGGCTGTTTAGCAAACTTCTAGTTTGCTGTGCCCTGAACCCTAACTTTACTTTTAAAAGAGCACCTTAAGGAACCGGTACATTTCCACCAGAAGAGCCTGGGGCTGGGTGGAGAAAAAGCAGAACCACCCTAAGATGTGCGCAGGAATGGAGAGGGTGTGTGTAACTACACAACCACGTACTAGCTTCAGCAGATGGGCAGCAGGAAGCTGGAGTTACTGAGCCAGAACAGATACAATGTGTTCTCACATTTCCTTTATTTGTCCAGATCTCACACAGATGTCAGTCTCTCCATCTTCAAAGGTAACGAAAGACTCATTCTTCGATGCAGTTTTGAGCCTATTTAGTTACTATGAAAATCTCACACACACACACACAGAGCTATTTTCTTACTATTACTTTTTTTCCTTCTTTGGAGCAGGAAGGCATCAATAGATAAAAACCAACTTTTGCCAATTCTAAATAAAATACATGTAAATACTAAAGTTACACTCCAGCCACCTGGCAGGTAAAGACCTGTAAGTAAGCCTAATACTTGGGCTGAGGCAAGAGGATACACAAGGGAGGCCAGCGAGACTATTTTAAATAATAGAGAGAGTCCCCAAACATCCCCCAGCAAGCACGGCAGCCAGTCATGGCTTCTGCAGGCTATAGGGAGTACAGCCTTCATTATCTGATGCTCCAAGCAGCTTCAGCTCTTTCCAGCTTGCTGTGGACAGCACATCACGCACACTTAGAAATGGAGATAAACTGTACCTGACTACCAAATAAAATAAAATGTTCCAAGTCTCGCTGGACACCAACGGACTACATCACATTTAAACAACCGAGCTAACGTGCAAAGTACTCGAAGGCCATGCATCTCCACACAGTGCATCTCCACACAGTGCATTGGCCAGAAAAGAAAGCCTGCCTGCTTCCCAGCAACAGCTCTCAGTGCCATGAGATGCAACTCTAAATGTGGAAATACAGCCGTATGCACAAGTGAAAACCTGAGGGCCTACCAGGAAGAACACAAATCTAAGTGGGTCACCAACCGCATCACTACTTATGACAAGGTATAGCGTGAAGCAAGCTCATTTGCTATGTTAAGCAGCAAAGTTCCATGATATAAACGACTACAAATTACTACGATATAAATGATTACAAGTATTTGTTAACATACAAAATATGTGCATGTATGAACAAGTGTGAAAGAGACTATTGACTGGTTTTTCCATATTCTCCTGTGTGTGTGTGTGTGTGTGTGTGTGTGTATTAAAGTGTTTTCTAAATGTACTACCTTTTAATCAAGTAGATGACAAACACCATGTACAGATTGGACGCATCTGTGATCTCTTGGTACAGAGGGAAACAGCGAACACTCTGCACCAGAACAGAGCAAAATCCCACCCCCACCTCCACCACGCCACATTGGTTTTTCTCTGTGAAATAGTCATGGCTGTCCTGGAACTTGCTTTGTAGACCAGGCTGGCCTCGAACTCACAGAGATCCCCCTGCCTCCCGAGTGCTGGGATTAAAGGCGTACGCCACCACTGCCCTGCTTGGTTGGTTTTCAACACAGGGTTTCTTTGTGTAGCCCTGGCAGTCCTCAAACTCACGAGATCCATCTGCCTCTTCCTCCCAAGTGCTGAGATTAAAGAGGTACACTGTCCAGAAAATTCTTAATCTACATTCATAATTCCCTTAAAAGTAAAGTTAAATTATGAAGAGGTTAGCCTGTAACAGATAAGGTACAGAGGGTATACAAATACTCAGTATTTCACCAGTGACAATCTTCCATGACATTCCCATTGTCAAACAACAACACAGTATGTACACTGCACAACCTGGTCCGGTTCAAGGGCTGCTTCCCGCTCTCAGCTGTGGGCTCCAAGGCTCCCATTCATGAACCTAGCCCCATGCTCTTCTGTAGATGGTGTTTTTGTCCTGCCTCTTAGACCCAAATAAACATATAGAGACTTATATTAATTAGAAATGTTTGGTTGATGGTTTAGGCTTTTTATTGGCTAGTTTTTTCTTAATTACTAATCCACAACTATTGGTCTATGTATTTTTACACGGCCTTATCTTAACAAAGAATGCCTGGTGCCGCCTATCTTCCCTGTAGCTCCACAGCGTCTCCCTTAGGCAGCTCCTCTCTCTGTCTTCCTCTCCCAAAATTCTCATCCGGTAGCCGCCCGCCTATATTTCCTGCCTGGCTATTGGCCAATTAATGTTGTATTCACCAATAAAAACATATATACAAAAGGACATCCCCCATCGCTCTTCAGAAACTCAGCATGCTCTTGCCCACACAGCCAACCCACCTTGCCTTCCCTATTTGCTCCCATTCCTCTCCACAACCCTTCTCAACTCCTGCCCTCTAGCCTTACAGCCCACTGACCTTACAGCCCTCGCCTCTCTCCCAGAGAAGCTACGCAAGCATGTTAAGTAAGCACTTAATATCTTAAAATTATGTAAATAAAATATGTACTTTCCCTAGAATGCATTACACTTTATAAACAAGAGTGGCTTTGTACCCTTCCCTACACTCTGCTGCTCTCATGCAATGCTTTATGGCTCACACAGGAATCTGAGTGATGCACTCTCTAAGTTTGAAGCTGGAGGCGCAGCTCAGGGTCTGTCTCCCCTCAGAGAGGTTGGGGTGGGGGCATCAGCAGGTATATGAGGGATACTCAGCCAGAGACCTTGTCCCACAAACAGATTCTTCCTCCCAAAAATGTTCAGTACTTCCTAATTAAAAGAAAAACCCTTTCCCCCAAAACAACACCCAGCACACAGATCCAAATTTCTGATTATCCTCCAAAGGGAACCAGTGGGGAAATGCTCATTTTAGGAACACACAGAATAAGCTTGGGGCTTATTGTGGTCTTACAAGTAAAAAAATCCTCAAAAACTAACAAGATGGGGCATCAATAGGGACCCCAAAGTCAATCAGAAAGCTGCTGACAGCCAAAGCTGACCTAATTTTAACAAGACAGATAAGAGTATTCACTGGCTTGAGGACCTATATGGATGCTTCTAAGTGACTGAACAGGTGGGAACGATGGGGACGTCCTTCTGTGTATATGTTTCTCTTATTGATTGATGAATAAAACAGTTTGGCCAGAGACAGGAAAATAGGCAGGGCTAGGAGATGAGGATAATTCTGGGAAAAGTAGGCAGAGAGAACCCACCAAAAAACAGTCACTATGTAGACCACAAAGGAGTAATAGGTCTGTGCGTTCTTCGGTAAGCCAAGACCACATGGAAATACATAGGTTAATAGAAATGGGCTAATAATTAAGACAGAGCTAGCCAATAAGAAGCCCTAGACACCAGCCAACAGTTTAATACACCCACTGTGTTCATTTGGTGCTGAAGTGGCAAGACCTACTGGGACAAGCAACAGGGGAAGAAACAAAACCTCTGCAGACCTCCGGGTAACATGCAGACCACCTCGAGGCAGTGATGAAGCAGGTACTTACAGTCCATCCCATGAAAGCCACGAGAAATCCTGTAAGGTATGGTGCTGCATACCTGTAATCCAAGCGCTTAAAAGGCAGAGGCAGGAGGGACAGAGAATAAGCTGGGGTATGTGAGACCCAAAAAAGCAAAACCAGAAATAATTACAGAATGATGCTGCAAGTATAACACGATTTTAAAGAATATGACTTTAACATTATCAACACTGAAGATTACACCCACAAACAAACAGCACAAGACCAAAGTCTACCTCTGTAGGAAACATTTCAAACTTGATCTACACTATAGACATAGAACTGAAAAGGTAACAACTGTAAAAACTGAAACTCAGCTAATCAAAAGTGCATTCAAGTGTTTTATACTGATCTTTTTAAAAAGTATTTACACTGTAACTAACAACAATGAATTTTGTTAATAAAACATTTTTTTCAGTCAAGCAGACGCTTTATCATTACCTATACACGGAAAACTCACACATCTTTCTAGGTTTCACAGTAAAATTAAGCTAGCCTAACTATTTCACTATGTACAGTGACATCAAACATAACCCTGCCTGTTGACTCACCACGACCAACACACTGAACAAGCAACAAAAATCCAAACTAGGAAACTGGCACAAAGAAATTTACTCAGACTCTGTTGTTTAAATATGACATTTTAGCTATGGTTAGTCGGTGCTTGATCAATGCACTGTTATAAAAAAAAGTCATGTCCCAGCACGTGGGAGGCATAGGCAGGCAGATCTGAGTTCAAGGCCAGCCTGCGTTCCACAGAGAGCCCCTGTCTCAAAAAAGGAAAGAAACTATGTTATAGTAGCCATTTAAAACAGTGTACATATAATGATGAAAGAGAAAAGCTGGGGCTTTGCAGGGTAAACTATAGCAATGGTCACCTCAAGTTGGAATTATCTATCATACCTATGATTTATATTTGCAATATAATTACCAAAGTCAATGGGCATTGGTGACACACACCTTTAATCCCAGCACTTGGAAGGCAGAGGCAGGAGGGTCTTTTGAGGTCAAGGAGCTACACAGAGAAAAAAGCAAGAGCAAAACAAAACCAAGTCTTATCTCAAGCCCTGTGTCAATAAGGGCTAAGCCATCCTACTCAAGTAACTGGGGCCTAAGCATCTTTTGTGGCTTAGTATTTTCATGTTAATTTCCTTCCATTATCTTGTACACTGCATACAGCAAGATTTCTGAGTGACATTTTGTTCATTCCTAGAAGTATTTTACAGAATCAAAACAATCATATAGGGAGAAAATAATAAAAATGAAGACTTCACTTGCCATCCTCTGAACTGCCAGGCTATACTTAAAAAAGAAAACTCTAAAACCAGAAAGGGAGGAGGGGAAGAGGTGATATAAAAAAAAAACCCTCTTAAAAATGTACAAGAAATTAGACTGGTTTCGTTTTCTTTAACATCTTCTTTAATAAGACATTACAGCACACATGAGATCCCAAGTGTGTCACGTAAACATGGGGGTGAGCATGGAAACAAGCTTAGTGTGAACCCCATTCCTTTTGACAGCTAACACGAATACAGAATACAAACAAATCAAATCCCTCTCGATATTTTGTATCACCTTTGAAGACACCGTAACAGTTTTTAAACAGATCTGTCTGTTAAAGAATCTCGGAATTAAATGACAAAAAGGTTTGAGTTGTCATCTCCTTACAGCAAATTTAACTGAAACACGAAAGAGGACCATGCTGGCAATCCCTGTGCTAAGGGAGAGCCGTCAACTATTCCCTATCCGAGATACAGACTGAAATATGGTGTCTTTAGTGCTTACACAACAGTAAATACAAGATCGAAAGGCTTTATTCTGAATTACAGACAGTGAGACCAATGAAGTATTCTCTGAATAGCCGCCAGTCTGTTGCTAAAAAGAAAGGTCCATCTGCGTAAAGCACTTCCAAAAGCTCTAGCATTGTCATTTTATTATCACGGCTGTGAGATTCACAGGAAACAACAGGTAAAATCTAATTGCAGTCAGCAACATTTTTGCAAACAATGGGCACCAAGTCTGAAAGGCAGGAAATTCAACAGTAACAGAACGGCTGGCTGTACTCAGTGAGGCTGGGGAAGGGCACCGGGGTTATTCCTGGAGACACCATCCTCCAAACTCAGTGGCACGATCCGCTGCCACCAAATGCAATGGCTACAGCAGCAAGAGGGGAGTCACCTGTCACCCACAGGTCACTGTGCAGCTCTGAGTGGCTGTCAGTACTTACGCAATGTTCTTCCGATTACATTGGTTCTTAAAACTTAAACTGAGTCATTACAGCACATTTATGTGCATACCAGACAAAAAAAGAAAACTAGAACACCAGACTAGTCTTCCTTAACCAGCAGAATTTGCAGAACTGTAACATTTTGCTAGTTCAGGTGGAAGTCAAACTAGACAGTCTTTGATTATAGGAGCCAGCACTAAGTTCCTAAAATTACGTTTTACTTGAAAGACGAAGAATGTTCTGGGAATTAACCTGGCACAAATCACTTCAATCTTTCCATTAAATGCAAAAAAAAAAAAAAAAAAAAATCCATTCACAAAATTAACTAAATAATTTTTAAAATTTCTCTCAAAAATTATGGTTCAATTCAAACTAAAGAATTGGAACAATTTTCAAAATACCCATTATAAGACATAGGTCCTTACAGTTCACACTTGTTCCATCATACTTTGTCCAAAAAAAACATTTCATTCTGGCATGTACTTTGGGACCCAATCTTTCAGAAGGGCTCACTGGCGATCCTACCAATTTTATGAATTATGTCTGTCACACCTACGATGCACTCCCACTGGCAAGCGGAGCCAATCCACTCAACAAGTTTGAATTTTTCAACACCAAGCACAGGAAATGATCAGAAGTGGGAATGACACGTGACTGCACACAGGCTGCAGCAGCAGAGCAGCTGCAAATAAACCATGTGCACAGTTACTAAATGAATCTGCACTAGGTTAACAAACCTGCCACGGCACTGAGAAAGGGAGAGGGTTGCTCTCGCAACGCTGGCTCGTGGACTCACTTCTCTAATAAGGCAAATAATAATAAGAAGTTAGAACAGAGTTTCTAGAACCATTTATCTTGTGATGTTGTAAAATCAAAGCGCTACTTTATTAAATGAGTTATTTTACACAATATGAACATCAATATAATTACAATTGTAAAAAAATTTTATAACAAGAATGGACTGATTCTTCAGATTTCCAAATCAGAGTCAACTGTACATTTACACGGAACTCTCTTTGCATGAAGCCCAGAGGGAACGGCATTAAAAATGAGTGTTTCTGTAGCCCCTTTATTTCTGCTGATCAACAGTGTGTTTAAAAAAAGCAGCTGCAGGTTTGTTACCTAAGGTCTGAGACAGTAGAAGAGTCAAAGGTGTCATGAATTCACCTGCAAGACAAAAGGAAAAGCTTCAGTAAATGTAGTGACCAACATGCGTTTCAAATACCTAAGATGAAAGACTATCAAGATGCCAGATTGGTGGATTGTCAACTGGATATTCTAGATGGAAATAATTCTCAAATACACACTACATAGGTGGACAAGACACTCAACCAAACATGAAGGTTAAATGGCTAACTTAAACTGGGAGTTTCTACCGAGACTTTTGCTGTTTATTAGAGAAGCTCCACCTAGCACTATAAATAAGCAAAAGAAATGTAAAAACAGACTTGGTAAACTGCTCTGAATTTCTGGGAGAAGACCCTTGTGCTTTGAAGCAACTGTTCTCTTAGAGTTGACAAGTCCCATTTGTGGCTCAAAGTTGGCCAGAATCGCTCCTTCCTCTATTTTTGGCTATAGTTGTAAAAACCTGAGTGTTTCAAAGGCATGAATTGAGAGGGTCCCCGGGAAAGGGCTCTTACCAATCATAAATTGTTTTACTAGAATACTTTCCATTTATACCGAATACTATTATTTAGCTCTGGTGCAAAAGTTAAACTTAAAAGTTAAGTCACGAAGTCTCTGCTAGAGGCAGAGATCCAGTCCACGCTGAGGAGATAAGAGTTTTGCTCCTAAATTCCAAACCCAGCCCGACAAAGCAGAGAAAACATCAGTCACCTGTAAACCACTCTATGCCTGCACATCGGCCAGCTCTGGGGGGAGGGGAGTCTTGGGATGCTTGCTCTCAAAGTGCTGCTTGAAGGTCTTCGGGTCTGGCATCTGCGTCTAGTTTACAAAGTGGGTGAAAGACAAGAACCAGAGTTTATGCAGGGAAGAGATGCGCGAGACGATTACAGGAAGATGCCTTCCCATTCCTGCCTGTGGCCTGCATATGAAACAGTAAACAGTATCTCACAGCAAAGAAATTCCTAACGCATCACCCACGAGGGGCCACAGCATATGAAGCGTTTGCTGTCACGCAGCAAACGCAAGGCACCCATCTACTCATTTAAGCAGTCCATCTTAATTCTCACAGGACCGTCACAGGAGCCTTTGGTGTCTATGAGCACACTCCTTTTTTACCGGCCAGAGAAGCTAACAGGGAGCACAGTCCGCCTGAGAGCTGTTTCACCTCAGTTCTAGGTTCTCCTACAATACAGTAATGACCACCTTCTTATTTATTTTTTCAAACGCTCTACTACCTAAATAAAGAGTTTATTTTTAACATTTTTGAAGTGTGTTTTTCGGGGCTAGGGAGATAGATGGTTCAGCATTTTACAGTGCCTGTTAATTGGAGGACCAGGCATGGGCACACAAGTTATTACCCGAGAGCATCAACAACAAAACAAGGGGATCCCCACAGCTTGTGGGCAGCCAATCTAGCCTACTGGTGAACTGTGGGCTCAGAGAGAACCCTGATTCAAAACGGTCAAGTGGGGAGTGACAGTGTGTGACCCTGACGTCTCCACATGTGTGAACACACGCATGCACATATACACTGACTCATGCACAGTCTCACGTGACAAACATACCTCTAACGGCCCAGATGTCTGTCTTACTAACCTGATGAAAATTAACTTCACCCTGCCTGTTGAAAGGCCAGAAGCCATTCAGTTTCATCATCATCACGGCTCACCGTGATGGTGATCCTGCCAGACTCCCATCTCAGTGACAGCTTCCATGTAGTTAGGAACTTCTAACTTCAGTCTGTCTTATCAAGATCCCTTCCCGTCCACACCGTCAGTCTTATTCAAGTACATGGTTTAGGAACACCGTGTCCAGACACCAGACCAACCCGCCTGCGTAATTTTTCCCTCTGGCACAGACAGATAGAGGCTAGACTTTAAAGCGAGACTGCTGAGACTCAGGTCCATCTCTTCTTACTCTGGATCATCTGCGCACACTACGAAATTCATGTGTGGGTCGGGCACGTGAGAGTACAGGTACGATACCTGGCTCCACCTCATACATGGCAGGCAAATTCCAACAGCTCTTAGGACGAGTTAACTCTGGTCATGAGGCACTCTATGTGCTCAGACCGTGATCTGGTGGGAGATGGGGGAAAGACGCCTACACAGGCAGGGTGACACTCACTGGCACCACACCAAGTTTAGCCCTATCCACAGAAGACTGCAGCTGGGATCTTTTTACAACACCCAAGGTTGTAAGCTATATAAGCTGTAACAAGGTTTTATTATAAGCTCTATGAAGACAACTTTATTCTACACAAGGGGCAGAACTTTGTTTTGTCATTTTCCTGCGTGCACAGCCACAGGAACCACACAGAAAATGTTTCTTGAATGTGTGACTGTAGGATGGATTCCGAAAAGAAAACCACTCTCGAATCTGAGTTCAAATAAACCGTCCATTTTGTTGTGGAGGGGCGTGAGGGGGACTTAACCTATACATATTTGCAGGGTAAGAGCTGTCTACCAGAAAGCAGTCTATGGGGTCCCTTACCCTACAGACTGTGCAGGTATATATTAAGGCAGCTTTGGCAGCAGCCTTTTGGTCGTGGCCTTGTTTCTTCTTTTGTCCAGCCTGCTTTTTGGCATTTTTCTGCTGAGACTGAATCTTCTGCTGTCCACCAACCATATCTAA